ATGGCTGTCACTGGTGCTACTAGAATCGCCAAATGGATTCTCGTAGTCTTTAATGTCCTGGTTTTGGTGAGTGAGTTTATCTATGTAAACCTCTGTTGTGTCATCTTTCTGTCTTTCCGGGCCAGGGTTTTTCAACTTTTTGTTATGTATCCCCTTTATTATTTGACAGGACAAGTTCCGGTGCTTTCTTTTTTAGCAACCACAAATGACGTCACGGGACAATACAATATTTTATATGGTGGTAAGAGTGGGTTTTCCGTGGGTTCTGTGTGTTGACGTGTCCCTTCCAAGCCCAAGTTTTTCGTGCGTTTACCTGAACTTAACCCTAACCTTAACCCTAACCTTAACCTTAACCTTAACCCTAACCTTAACCCTAACCTTAACCCTAACCTTAACCCTAACCTTAACCCTAACCATAACCCTATCCTTAACCCTAACCTTAACCATAACTCAACCCTAACCTTAACCCTAAACTTAACCATAACCTTAACCATAATCTTAACCCTAACCTTAACCCTAACCTTTACCCTAACCTTAACTCTAACCTTAACCCTAAAGTTAACCCTAAACTTAACCTTAACCATAACCTTAACCCTTACCTTAACCCTAACCTTTACCCTAACCTTAACTCTAACCTTAACCCTAACCTTAACCCTAACCTTAACTCCTACCTTAACCCTAACCTTAATTTTAACCTTAACCTTAACCCTAACCTTAACCCTAACCTTAACCCTAACCTTAACCCTAACCTTAACCCTAACCTTAACCCTATCCTTAACCCTAACCTTAACCATAACCTCAACCCTAACCTTAACCCTAAACTTAACCATAACCTTAACCATAACCTTAACCCTAACCTTAACCCTAACCTTTACCCTAACCTTAACTCTAACCTTAACCCTAACCTTAACCCTAAACTTAACCTTAACCATAACCTTAACCCTTACCTTAACCCTAACCTTTACCCTAACCTTAACTCTAACCTTAACCCTAACCTTAATTTTAACCTTAACCTTAACCCTAACCTTAACCTTAACCCTAACCTTAACCTTAACCTTAACCCTAACCCTAACCTTAATCCTAACCTTAACCCTTACCTTAACCCTAACCTTAAACCTAACGTTAACCATAACCTTAACCATAACCTCAACCCTAACCTTAACCCTAAACTTAACCATAACCTTAACCATAACCTTAACCCTAACCTTAACCCTAACCTTTACCCTAACCTTAACTCTAACCTTAACCCTAACCTTAACCCTAAACTTAACCTTAACCATAACCTTAACCCTTACCTGAACCCTAACTTTTACCCTAACCTTAACTCTAACCTTAACCCTAACCTTAACCCTAACCTTAACTCTTACCTTAACCCTAACCTTAATTTTAACCTTAACCTTAACCTTAACCTTAACCCTAACCTTAACCCTAACCTTAACCCTAACCTTAACCCTATCCTTAACCCTAACCTTAACCATAACCTCAACCCTAACCTTAACCCTAAACTTAACCATAACCTTAACCATAACCTTAACCCTAACCTTAACCCTAACCTTTACCCTAACCTTAACTCTAACCTTAACCCTAACCTTAACCCTAAACTTAACCTTAACCATAACCTTAACCCTTACCTTAACCCTAACCTTTACCCTGACCTTAACTCTAACCTTAACCCTAACCTTAATTTTAACCTTAACCTTAACCCTAACCTTAACCTTAACCCTAACCTTAACCTTAACCTTAACCCTAACCTTAATCCTAACCTTAACCCTTACCTTAACCCTAACCTTAACCCTAACCTTAACCCTAACCTTAACCCTAACCTTAACCCTAACTAAAACTATACGCTTAATCTACTACCCATTCAAATGTTTGACTGACCTGTGACCTGTGGATTTCCCATGTTTGTGGTTGGCTATTAGGAAAGTACCCCCCACCATAGTGTTAAAAATTTGTTTAAAAATTAAAAAGAGAATCGACTCACTCCCCCCCCCCCCCCTCCCCCCCCCCAAAAAAAAAAAAAAATTATTAAAAAATCCCAATCACTGTTAAAATTAATTTTTTTTTTCTATTGAAAACATTTGTATCGGTAAATGAACAAACTGCTCATGAATACAAACGGGTCTTTTGTATTTTGTTTCATAAATTGCTTTTGTAAATATTGTAGGTAAACGTAAGGTTAATGTCCCAACGCCCCACCCATATACACACTAGGTCACTTCTGATTGGTAGTTCCTGAACATGTCACCTTGGCATAAGGTTACAGGGGTGTTCCACTATGCCGTTGATATCGCGTGTTGAATATTACATCACGCCAGAGAGTGCTGCAACTTATGTCACAGGCATTCTCTTTCTCGCAATGACAACATAAATGCAAGACACCACAGACAGCAAACAATAGAGCGGTACACATCTTTAACCTTCAGGAAAGTCGACCAGCCCAACAAACTTGTTAATGAAAAGTGACCTTCTTTGTTTAGGGAGATTTACGTGAACCTAACCATATTTTATTTATGACGAAACCAAGGAGAACAAAAAATGTGTCTGCATAACAAAATATTAGTCATACACATTTCAAAATGGATAGTCATTAAAAAAAAAAAAAAAAAACTTTCGGATTGAAGACCAGTGATTTAAACGATAGAATGTCATTGTGCTTTTGTGAATCTTATAAATCACAATCGATGGTGATATCAATTTGGGTCACTGATGAAGCTCCTCCTCTTCATTCAAAATAGGGCTGGGCGGTTGGAAGAGACCACGTGATCCATCGCAGTATGACCCGCAGTTTCCACCCTAGACTATCTGCCAACCAAGGCTAGAGGCCTGGTTTGCATTGTCATAGCATTCCGTTTTCAGGTTTCATTTCTCCCATCCTGAGATAAGTGTGTAACCTAAGCCTCTTGCATTCGTTTCAAACAAACTTTGCTAGAGTGTCCCTTTACACTGACATCCTTGAGAAGTGGAGTCGACGTGGCGTAGCGGCTAGACGCTCGCCTGCGGATCGAAAGGTCGTGGGTTCGCTCCCTGGGGGAGCCGGACTTTAAAAAAAATTAACCTTGGCAAACTGGCAAACTGATCAGACAGTCAAAAAGAAATGATAACCCAACTATACGCAGTGTTATGTGGCGATAATGATAATGATGATGATGATGAAGAGGATTCACATAGATAAAATAAAGATCTGGACAATGAAACCCTTGCAATATTGTGTACTGCAAGATATTTTAAAATGAGTTTGAACAGAGACCAATAAACTGATGTTTTGGAAACATTTTAAAATACTAATCAAGTGTGATGAGGTGCTGTGCATGGTCTTCACGATTACATAGTGGCAGGCAGAAAGTCCGTGCAACAAGGGACAGCACGAGATACTTGTGCCTAGTCGAGGAAGCGAGGGAAAGCTCGAGCTAGCCTCGTGGTCAGTCGATCATGAGAAGTCAGAGAAGACGGTTGTAGTATTTGAAGATGTTGTCTTTATGTCGCGAGAATGGTTAATGTTTGAATATGTCGCGAGTGATAATGTGTAAATAATGTTTGAACATGTGAAATAAATGGACCAGAATAAACTGACAGAATGTACCAAGAAGCTGAGCGGCGTTTGTGTTGTCAACCCTAGACGTTAAAGTCGTTGCAAACCAAGGTTCATGCCAAGTAAACCACGATTCATTCCAAGTTGAATCAGAATCATTTCACAAGCCACACAAGTTATTTCTAGCATACGTATAACTTTATATATCAATTGGTCAACATGTTTGCACCAGGAGAGACGGCTAAATAGCTTTCACATGTGATGCCTAAGAAGAATACTTGGCATTAAGTCGCAGATCAAGATCACAAAGACTGGGGTACTGGAAAGACCCGGTACTACAACAGTCTTTTCCATGCTCAGTCTACGAATGCTCAGGTGGCTGGGTCTCACCTGGAGAATGGAGGATGACAGAGTCCTGAAGGACATCCTTTGTGGTGAATTAAAGGTAGATAGAAGATGTCGAGGCCGACCTCTATTACGGTATAAAGATGTGTGCAAGCAGGCCATGAATGATACAGGTACTGAGGTGGACTCATGGTAATAAAACGCCAAGGACTTTTGTGGGGAAAGAGAATGTCAGGAAGAGAATGAGAGTGAAGGAAGAAATTACTGCAGAAAGGATGAGAGCTGAGTGTCTAAAAAGAAACGAATTAAACACAAATGATGACAACAATGGTCCTGAATTCCCATGCTATTATTGTGGAAGACTTTTCTTGACACAAGCGGATCTTGCTAGTCACACTCGCCATCGCCATGGGCTGTGAGTCTCATGGCTCCTCATAGCGCTATGTAACACTATCGTCTGGAAAGATGAAAAGGTGCCAATCATTTATAGACACACACATGATCTGAACATGGAGGTGATTTGGCTCATAAACATCATCCTGTCCTGGAAGCCCGGGAATTAGGGATATATTAAACGATATTAACCCGTTCATATTACAGGAAGACAACTATAAGACCACTATGGTCACACGCGGAAAATTTTCACATTTCGGAACTATTCACATTCAAAAACTGTTTTCAGTACTTTTTGGCAAAATTAAAATACTTAAAATTTTAAAACAATAAATGGTGGCCGAAAGGACGTTGTGTATGGAAGCTCGCTGTCCTTCGAGATACGCCTAGCCAGATCAAAGGGAGACAGAACAAACAGGAGACACCAAGAAAGAAGAAGGAAGACATGCACCAGTGACAACAGGACGAGCGGTTTGATTCGGATGGAAGCATCAAGCCCAGAAATGGCACAAACACCAGTATTCAGTCACGAAAGTGACGCAAATAAACCAGACCACAAATATAGGCGGAGACTGTTAGCAGCCTAGGCTAGCTAGCAGCAGTCTGAACGTGGTCGAGCTTTTTTTTTTTTTTTCAAAAGGACTTGGACTTGGACCTGGGGGAGAAGTGTGATGGGTACATTTTCCAGAAAATAAAGCGAAGGCAGAGATCTCCGCAACACTTGATGCAGGACATGAAGATGCTTTGACTATGTAAGCACAAAGGGCTGGAGAATTGTCTAGAGAAAAAGACACTTTCCGAAAGCGACGTTCTATCAATGATTTGTTGTATTATGGTAAAGAATCGTTTCTTTTTACTTTTTTTTTTGGGGGGGGGGGGGGGGGGAACCAAGAAACAGCAAGGAAATTTGCACAAAAAATGGACCACTGATCATCCTCTCAACAAAATGGGAGGGATGTAGCTATTAGCAATAAAATTAGTTAGTTATTTAGTTAGTCGACAGATTATCAACACTGCAGATGGAACCATTCATTCCATAAGAGCTCGGATCCCCTCCTTAGTAAATACCGCAGCGTGTAGCGGCTTACGACACCCGTTCTCTGTTGGTTTCATATTCTTCCCTGGCTTCCTGTGGAGTGTGCATGTCTGGCCACATCCCTATCAACATGTTGTTCTTGGAGTTTGGTCATTGTTGTAGATTCACGATGAAGAAGATCCGTTCACTGTGGACGTTTATATATGGTAACATCCCAAGGTCTAACGGTATCAGGTCTTCATCAGATTGGACTAAGTATTATAGTAGTCGGTACTGCCTTTTTTCTGTTAGCGCGGACTGTTGGACCGTGTATACCAAATCTAACATTCCACATTGTCCAAACAGTGTTTGACGCAGTGGCGTTCTGGGGAAGAACTAAGCAAGCTCCGGTGGACCAAGAGGTGAGGAAAAGACGCTGGCGTTGGATAGGACACACATTGAGAAAACCGGAGAACAATATAACTAGAATGTCTTTGCATTGGAATCCTTAGGAGCAGAGGAATAATGAAGGCAAAAAACACATGGAGAAGGGAGCTGGAGAATGAAAATTAGAAAGATGGAGAGGACATTGAGAGCGCTGCATGAGATAGCAAAAGATAGAACAACTTTGCGGGTGTTTTTTGAGGGCCTATGCACCATTGGGGGCTAGAAAGGTAGAAGAAGAATAAATTTATTAATCATCAATTCTCGTATCTAAAAAAAAAAAGTATGATAATCCCGCGGGTAATCTAAGACTTCCGTGGTAGTCACACAGCCAAGAAATATACGTTTATCGAGAACACGTCTATAATCACCATTCCTGTTATCTCATACACATAGTGTGCTGGAGCCATTGCCATTGGCCTTGGAGCTTGGGGTCTGACATCAGAATACGGCGCTGAGACTCTGAAGAACCTGACGGGAAGCGAGCTGTACCGTGGAGCTGCCATTGCCATCATTGTTGGAGGCTGTATCTTGGTGGTTATCTCTTTCTTCGGAGCAATCGGCGCCATCATTGAAAGCAAAGTGCTGCTAGGAATAGTAAGTGCAGTGTTATTTATTGATACTATAATTAAGTAGTTACAGATTTAGGATTCGTCCATGTTGTATTATTCACACACTTAGAGGGGATACTGCAAAGGTGAAGATAGAGAAAGGGGGATTTTTTTTTTTTTGGGGGGGGGGGGGGGGTAGTACGAGAAACAGATTTATGTATGTTTGTAAGTTTTACCCCACAAGGACATCACACAAGGGATAGACACCCTGTGACTCAAAGGGCCACTATGCGTTTGAGGATCACCTATGAAGATGTTCAGAAAACTCCGTTCGGCTGTTTAGCCATATTTCAGGTCCGGCTATATTTAGGGCTCCGGAAAAAACCATAGTGGGGATTCAAAATAGCTAAAAACTGCATCCGACAAGAGGGTGACAAGATAACACTGGAACAAATTTAAGGTTATTGTGATATCATTCAACCGCAATCCGCTATTATGTTTTCGATTCTTTTACAGATTTACATTGTATGTTTAATACTACAATTTCATAGTATGGGGGGGGGGGGGGGTGTCTGTGAAATACTTTCGAAAAAAAAGGGGAGGAGCTCCGTGTGTCTTATCTAAGTCGGTACCACTGGTCTATGATATATGGGCCTAGTAGCCTTTAAACCATGCCGGAAAGGGGTCTTCACTTGTCATCGTCATCATCATCATCATCCTGTAACAATGCGTGTCGTTGGGTAACCAGTTTCTGTTGACTGTCTGATCAGCTCTCTCCACCTTTAGTGGTCAGTTGCGATGGTCTTCATGGTTGCATGCCTGACGCCTATCCAGTCATTCAGTTTTTGTAACCAGGTCTTTCTTGGTCTGCCTCTTACCCACTACTGAGGCCTGCAGTATTGTTTTTGAGAGGTCGTTATATCGTATTATTTGACCTTACCATTTCATTTTTTGCCTATTCACTATTGTTAAAAGAGGTTTTAGTTGCCAATGTGCTGTCTAATTTTATGGCTTCACTTGTACCTTCCTTTAATTCTTGAAGGGGAAATAACTTAGGATATAGTTATTCTTTTTTTTTTTTTCATGATATCTATACTGAGTATTCTCCATTGCTGACAGTTCACTGAATATTTCTGCAATTATGTTAACTGTTAACTTGTACTTGGTTTTGTCTACATAAGAGAACCAATAAACCTTGAAATGACTGGAATGACCCCCCCCCCCCCCCAAAAAAAAAAAATAAAAAATAAGTATTCTCCTCTTTGCTTCTTCTAATTGTAGTAGGGGGAATAACATATCCTCATTTAGAACTCCGCTTAAGTGTGAGACAGTATTGTTGTTTGTTGCTTATTTCAAAGCCCCACTCCGGTTATCGCCAGGGGCCCTCATATAATCTAACGGTTGCACAGGGTTTCTGGGATTTGAGCCCGGGTGATTCTCATCCGAATAGTGGCACTTTGTTTCACCGGGTGTTTATCGCTCGTTGTGCGGTCCTAGAGTAGGAGGGTGTTGATGATGATGATGATAATGATGGTGATAGCTACACACACACAGACTGTTCCATGTAAACCTGCCTCTGCTTCAATTTCAGTATTTCGTCATCATGCTCCTTCTCCTAATTCTCTTCGTGACTGCAGCAGCTGTTGGTTTCGCCTTCAGGGACAAGGTAAGTGCTATCAAATCAAACACAATTAGATGTATTGTTTGTCAACACTGTAAATGATGTGCATTTGTCGGCCTAGCTTACGTGGATACAAGCGCAATCACGTCAGCCAGAAGTAGATATACTGTTTGTTAAAACTATGAATGTTAAGTAATTATTGGGCTAGCCTGCAGGGGACAAAAGGGCTATCAACTCAGCAAAACGTAAATATACTGTTTGGTAAAACCATAAATGTTATGTAATGTTTGGGCTAGCCTACAAGGGATAAATAAGCTATCAACGCAGCCAGAAGTAAGGTAATGTTTGTAATAACGGTGCGATGTTTGGTGTTACTATATGGTGTGTTCAGTCGTCTGCTGTTCCACTGTTTTACTCTTGATTCTTAGGTGTTATGCAACTCTGCTGAATTAGCTGTTTCAGATCAAGCATTTAGGAGCTATATTTTTGGTGTTATAGACAGTAATGTGTGTATGTGCGCTTTTGTATGTGTGTTTATGTGTATGCGCGTATGTTTAACTGTTTGAGACAAAGTATTTTAATCAAAGAGTGTTGCACGATAGTTAATGGGTTTGTACTCCCTAGCCCACACACACACACACATACACGCATACACACACAAAACCAACCCTGCCGTGCACCTATAGATGAAAAATTTAGGACCGAGGCCTCAAGGTGATTAATCCTAATTGAAGATTATAATGCTGATAATATTAATAATAATGTTTAAAATGCGGTTGAGCTTTATCACATCCGCCCTCCGCCTTTTGCATTCCTATACCTGTTAAAAGTGTGTGTGTGTGTAGAGGGGGTGGTATGGGTCTCAGCTCTCAAGTTCTGGCACCTGTATGCACATGTGTGGGTCCTTTACATGTGTGGGTCCTTTACATGTGTGGGTCCTTTACATGTGTGGGACCTTTACATGTGTGGGTCCTTTACATGTGTGGGTCCTTTACATGTGTGGGTCCTTTACATGTGTGGGTCCTTTACATGTGCGGGTCCTTTACATGTGTGGGTCCTTTACATGCGTGGGTCCTATACATGTGTGGGTCCTTTACATGTGTGGGTCCTTTACATGTGTGGGTTCTTTACATGTGTGGGTCCTTTACATGTGTGGATCCTTTACATGTGTGGGTCCTTTACATGTGTGGGTCCTTTACATGTGTGGGTCCTTTACATGTGTGGGTATGTGTGTGTGCGTGTTTGAAATTCAAGTTTTTTGTTTTTTTCTATAGTAATTCTTTGAAACACCATCGTATCCTTTATGGTTGAATGCATTTGCTAATTTGAATTGAATAATTTGTTGTTATAAGTGTAGTAATTTTATGTTTTATACGTAATGCTTTGTTATTAAAATATACAGTAATTTGCTGTGTTAGATATACTAATCTAGGAAGCATATTTTTAGAGGAAGCAAAGAAAGCAAATATCTATGAAACAAATTTACGGAGGATTGCAGACTTGAAAGAGAGATAGAAGTCAGAGTACAGAAGGCAAATGCTGTCACCTACCAGTTAGCCCCACTGTTTATACACCCAAATGTCTACCTTCTAGCAAAACAGCCAATGATTAATAGCATCTTTATCCCTGCTTTATGTTATCAGTGCAAACCTCGACAATGAATAGGGCACTAGAAGAGAAAATAAATACAAGTGAAATGCGCTGTCTCCACAAAGTCATTAACAACACTAGACGAGACAGGGTTACGAACACTTGCAATATAGAGAAAGTTGGATTGAGACCATGTCTAGATTATATTTACAGACAAAGAATAAAATGGTTTGGCCATCTAGTGAGAATGCAGTCAGACCAGACTGCATATGAGACATTTTACAGTAGAACATCAGAGAAGAAGGGGAGAGGAAGACCAAGAAAGAGACGGATAAATGGTGTAGATAAAACCTGCAAAAAGTGGAACAAATCCATTACCCAAGCCACCCAAGAATAGCAAGACAATTACAGAAAACCACGACACAGGGCTACAATCTGGTATTAGTGAGAAGACACAGGAAGACGAAAAAAATAAAATAACCTGATGTTATTTGTGCAATAATTATAAT